TGGCTTACTTCACTTAATATAATTTTTTCCAAGTCTTTCCATTTCCTAACAAATGGGGTAAGGTCATTCTTTCTGATGGAGGCATAGAATTCCATTGTGTATATATACATTTTCTTGATCCATTCATCTACTGAGGGACATCTCTTAGCTATGGTAAACAATGCTGCAATAAATAGTTGTGCTGGTAGCTTTAGTATGGTCTTGTTTGTGATCATTCGGGTAAATGCCCAAAAATGGGATTGGTTGGTCATAGGGGAGCTCTATGTGGAACCTCCATACTACTTTCCAAAGTGGTTGAACAAGTTTACACTCCTACCAACAATGCAGTAGGGTTCCCTTCTGTCCACATCCCATTCAGCATCTGTTGTTATTAGAGTTCTTGATTATATGCACTAATTCTCTATGACAGGCACAAACTATGAGTGCATTTTTATGGCCTTATTATCTATTAAAGGTATGGAAAATGAAATCCAAAAGCTACAAAGGCACAGAAATAGATTTGTGGCCTTTGTTTACTCAATTACGCGGCACGGTAATGGGCATAATCTTCTGGAGTTGCTTTCACAACCCTCAATTTTGACAGTATGAGTCACACACACACACACCACCACCACCACCACCACCACCACCAAAAACAAGGATGTGGGAGAAATCCCCAACTTCTTTGTCCCCAAGAAAAAAATATACATTCTGTGCTGAGGCCAAGGTAAGTGAGCATTACAAAACAAATGCATAGAAGAAAAAAAAAGAGGTTAAAAAGATCTATGGAATCATCAAGGTCTTATTCAGAAAATCAAGAAATCATGACTGGATTCCCTCACCTCCTAAACTGTGGGTGAATGTCATCATCAGACTTAAGAGCATCTTCTACGTAAGTGTGAAATGGGCAGGGAAATGGCAAAACAGTGTCGAGATCATAGATGAAGCTCTGTCCTCCACTTGATGTGTGAAGCAAAACAACATGGTAATCCTAGAAGTAAAATTGATCAAGTTAACTCAGGTATTCTACGAGAGTAATTTCCAGTCCAGGATCAAGACACAAATATGACCCAAACCCATCTGGAAGCCCTCCTTAGTAAAATAAAACATATACAAGACCCTAACAAGAGACCAATGTCCAGTGATAAGGAAACAGCTAAACAAATAACAGAAATGTTCATATATATTCAATGGGCATCTTTTGACCTAACCATTTTACCTCTAGGAAACTATCTTACAGAAAAGATAGCTAGTCATAAGAATGTAAAGGTATACATACAAAGAAAATCTCTGAAACATTGTTAATAGTGGTGAAAATTCTGAAACAATCCAAAGTCTATCATGAGATGAAATGGAACAAAAATTATTTTTAAAAAATGAAACTAGAATATTAAAAATAAATTATAAGTCATATGATAGGATACTCTACAGCCACCAGAAATAGGTAACTTTTGTGGAAAATGGCAAAATATTTTTGTAGCTGGATGGAAAAAGCAAAGTGCAGAGTATAGAGGTATTGGATTTTAGATTCTGGGGTTTTTTTAAAGGTATTTGTAACTTGAGTTCTTGCTTAAGTCATGAACTCAGCCATAAATTCTTTGTTGTTGGTGGTGGTGGTGGTCATAGGACTTGAACTCTGGACCTGGGTGCTGTCCCCCAGCTCTTCAGCTCAAGTGTTTACCAATTGAGCCACAGCACCACTTCTGGTTTTCTGAGTGGCTAATTGGAGATAAGAGTCTCACGGACTTTCCTGCCCAAGCTGGCTTTGAAGCACAATCCTCAGATCTCAGCCTCCTGAGTAGCTAAGCTTACTGCTTCTAGCTTATATAAATATTTTCTAAAGTTACATGCATTTATAGACACACATGATCATTCAAAAATGTACTAATGGGCTGGGAAGGTGGCTTAGTGGTACAGTGCTTGCCTTGCATGCATAAGGCCCTGGGTTTGACTCCTCAGCACCACATAAACAGAAAAAGCCGGAAGTGGCACTGTGGCTCAAGTGGTAGAGCATTAGCCTTGAGCTGAAGAGCTGAGGGACAGTGCCCAAACCCAGAGTTCAGGCCACACAACTGACCAAAAGAAAAAAAAAAAGTACTCATGCATGTGGGTATAGAGGAAAAGTCTTTCAGAATACTATCTACCAAAATTTGGATCTTAGATGTCCCCCAGATGCCCATAGGTGAAAGCTTGGTCCCCAGCTTGGCACTACTGAGAGGTGATGGAACCTTCAAGAACCAAGTCTAAGTGGTGGATTTCCTGGTCATCAGAGGCATGCCATGAGATAAACAGCTCTGCTCTACCACAATCTCCCACTACAATGTGCTGCTTTGCCACTGGCCCAAAAGCAATGGGCACCAACCAATCATAGACTGAAGCCTCTGAAATGGGGAGCCCAAAATTAAACTTTTCTCAGACCAGGCACAGTGGTTCATGCCTATAATCCCAGCTACTCAAGTGGCAGAAATCAAAAGAATCATGGTTTGAGGCCAGCCCAGGAAAAAAGTTAGTGAAACCTCAACAAATAAGACAGTGGCGATACACACCTATAGTCTCAGCTACATGGAAGGTAAGAGGTTCAAGCCTAACTAAAAAAAAAAAAAAAACACACAAACCCTAACTGAAAAATAGCCAAAGCAAAAAATGGCTAAGGGTATGACTCAAGTAGCAGAATGCCTACTTAGCAAGCATAAGGTTGAATTCAAATCCCAGTACAGAGGGGGAGAGACTTTGTTCTAAAGTGATTTGTCTTCTGTATTTTTTTAGGCAGAAGCTTACTAACCCTCCAAATTATTAACAAAGGGAACTTCCTGAAGTTTTATGAAGAGAGAACGTTAATTCTAGTTTACATACTTTTTTTTGGTCAGTCGTGGGGCCTGAACTCTGGGCCTGGGCGCTGTCCCTCAGCTCTTCAGCTCAAGGCTAGTGCTCTACCACTTAAGCCACGGCGCCACTTTTGGCTTTTTCTACTTATGTGGTGTTGAGGAATCGAGCCCAGGGCCTCATGCTTACAAGACAAGCACTCTACCACTGAGCCACCTTCCCAGATGCTATATACTTTTTTAACTTAAAAAAAAAATTAATTCAAAGCAGAGATGGGAGCCAGTGGCTCATGCCTGTAATCCTAGCCTTTTAGGAGACTAAGATCTGAGGATCATGGTTCAAAGCCAGCCCAGGCAGGAAAGCCTATGAGACTCTTCAATTAGCTACCAAAAAGAAAGACAGACAGACAGAAAGAAAAGAAGGAAGGAAGGAAGGAAGGAAGGAAGGAAGGAAGGAAGGAAGAAAGGAAGAAAGGAAGGAAGGAAGGAAGGAAAGAAAGAAAGAAACAGACAGACAGACAGACACGGAGCTATGGCTCAAATGGTAGAGTTCTAGCCTTGAGCACAAAACTCAGGGACAGGACCCAGGCCCTGAATTCAAGCCCCAGGAATGGCACAAAACAACTAAAAACTCCACCAACTTCTTCAGCTCTCATGTGTAGCCTCTCAGTCCTCTCATGAAGGGGGAAGGATAAAACAGCTTCCACCCCAGCTCAATGTGATACAGATGTCATCTGTCACTCTTCTCAGACACAAGGAACTGCCACCACCAGCTAAGGGCCCAAAAGATTTCACATTATCAAAGGACACGTGTGCAGGCTGGTACTCAGTCCCTCCAAAGAAAACTGCTCACAGAGCACACCAAAATAGCTTTCCAATCTGACCACCTCTGTATCACCACCTCACATGCTCTAGCACCTCTGCATTTACAAAGCACTTCACAAAAGTGTTTTCACTTGAGCTTGCAAAGCTTTCCCTGTGTGAAAAAGGCAGGAAAGATAATTGAGACCAGAAAGGCTGCATGCATAGAGCCTGTGTGCTTCCAGGGATACAGCCTGGAAGTACAAAGTAGAAATAGCATCAGAAATGGACCATACTCCCTGCAGTCCTCTTCCTCTAGATAAATGAGCTAAGAGCTGCTGCCCCTCTAATGGCCTTGCTCCCTCCACTGGGCCTGCTCCCTCCATCACTGTGACTTTCACCCTGTGACCTCACCAACTCCAGATCCAGGCCTTTCTCCTCCAAGACACTTTTTCTAATCTTTCCCGCTCGCTCCCTGCCAGAAGTAACCTCTACCTCATCCAAAATCTGTTTCTCTCTTAACACCCTCAATTCATTGTACGTATTTTTTGTTTGTGCTGGTCCTGGGGCTTGAACTCAGGCCTGAATGTTGCCCCTTGGCTATTTCACTCAATGCTGGCACTCTACTTGAGCCACACTTTACTTCCAGCTTTGTGGAGATAAATCTCATGAACTTTCCTGTCTGAGCCAGCTTCGAACTGTAATCCTCAGGTATCAGCTTCCTAAGTAGCTAGGATTACAGGCTTTTGAGCCACTGGCACCTACCCTAGCTTTATAATTTTGGTTTTGGTTTTATTTTTGTTTCTAAGTAAATAATCCTCATTATGAGAGATTGCTGTAAAATTACAGCTACAAGAATGAAAAAGGTATATACATACATTATACATATGTATATTCTACCTTATATGAAATATAAGTAATCTTAAAAGATCCATGTATTATAATTTTCATAGGCCTCCTGGTCCTCAAGTCTGCTTTACCAGAGCTCACAGATCACCTTTGGGTCACAAAGAACAAGGCACCAGAGGCTCTTGGAGTGGCCATCTTACCCAGATCACAGGTCCATTCCCAGGTCTTGCTTGCTGTTTCCAGATAGGAATCTACAAAATATAGCACATCCATGAGCGGCACTTAAAACTACTTCTAGATTCTTCACAGCCACACACACACGAGAAAAATTATTTCTAAGCAACCAACAATCATAATGAAAGACTATATAAGAACAAATCTAAATCCTTTTAAGTGTAAGTGTTGTCAACATGAAAGCTGAGGAGAGCTCAAACCAAAATCATCCTGATCTCTGACTCTCAAGTAGCTGGGATTATAGGCATGCATCAGCACCCTTGGTCATGTTACTATATTTTTCAAAGGACATCTTAAAACAGCACTAAATCCATGATACATTTAGCTTCTGAGGTCATTCTAAATCTTTCTTATCTGAGATTTTTGCTGTTAGTTTAGCTTTTTGCAGTGCTAGGAATTAAACCCACGGCCTCATCCATGCTAGGTAAGTGCTATACCACAGAGCTGCATCCCTGTCTCATTTTCTTTCTGCAATCAATCACTTACCAACTTACCATCTTCTTCTCATTTGATATGAAGACAGCATAGCACTCTTCTAACGGACATTGTGCATGGGTTTTGATGTATTCACAGAGCTTCCAAATATTTTCCTCGCTGAAATAAAACAAGTGTTAGCATAACTAAAAGTAAATATTCTGTGTCTTTCAAATTTTGAACAGAAGAGTGGTAACATTTAGTCTAGCACTAGTGGCTCACACCAGTAATCCTAGCTACTCAAAAAACTGAGATCTGAGGATCACAGCTCAAAGCCAACCCCAGCAGGAGAGTACAGAGAACTCTTACCTCCAACAAACTGCCCTAAAAAAGCCAGAAGTGAAGCTATGGCTCAAGTGGTAGAACACTAGCCTTGGCCAAAAAAAAAAAAAAAAGCTAAAGGACTGGCACCAAAAAAACTTTTTTTTTAAAGAATGATGACATTAAAAGAAAAAAATTAACTGTAGGCTCAAGGATGTAGCACAAGTGGTAGGGCCCTGCATTCAAATCACAATATGACCCAAAAAATAAAAATAAAAAATTGGAAAAGACCTGAAATACCCTCTTATCCAATGAACTGGTTAGCAAGAGTCTCCTCTAAAACATCTCCCCAACCTGCTAGCTGTGCACAGACCTCTTCAGACAAGTAGCAACTCACCTCTCTGGGCAGTTCTTGTAGAGGACGACAGTTTAGAAGCAGAATGCTATGCCAAGATTCTAGAAGCTTTAGGGAAGATGAGATACAGCAGAAATTCCAAGTGGGCCACAAACAAAGGCAATAAAATATCTGAATCTCTTGACATCTCTGAGCATCTGCTGTCTCCTCTGTAAAATGTACATTCTTACAGTACACTGTAAATACTCAATAAACCTTGGGTTTACTGAGTTAATAAGCCTTGGGTTATTAACATTGGTTCCCTGCTCACCTCAGCAAGTAGGATGGGTGTTTTGGGAGGAACGCTCCTGAATACAAGTATCAGGAAATGTTATATGATATTCTAGAGGAAGTTCTGGGATTTCCCCCCAAGTCCCTCTAGCAAGTAAAAGATATCAAAATCTATAAAAATTTCTCAAGAATTTAGTGGTGTAGGCCTCATCAAGAGCCTATGCTTAGAGGATCTGGTAAATTCAAGCGTACAGAGAAGACACATACAGGTCCAAACACAGAATCCTCTAAAAGGCTTCAGAAGATTCATACAGAAAGCAGAAAGAAGCCAGGTGCCCAGTTATTCATACCTATAATCCTAGCGACTCAAGAGGCTGAGATCTGAGAATCACAGTTCAAAGGCAGCCAGAATAGGAAAGTCTGTGAGACTCTTATCTCCTCTTAACCATCCAAAAAGCTGGAAGAGCTGGGCAACCGTGGCTCATACCTGTAATCCTACCTACTCAGGAGGCTGAGATCTGAGGATCACAGTTCAAAGCCAGCCAGGGCAGCAAAGTCCATGAGACTCTTATCTCCAATAAACCACTGGAAAACCAAAAGTGGAGCTGTGGTTCAAGTGGTAGAGCACTTTCCTTAAGCTGAAGAGCGCAGGGACAGGGCCCAAGCCCAGAGGTCAAGCCTCACAACCAACAACAACAAAAAAAAAAAAGTTGGAAGAAAAGGTATGGCTCAAGAGGTAAAACACCAGCCATAAGTGAAAAAGCTATAGGCCCTGAGTTCAAGCTCAGTATTAACATTATTAAAAAAAAAAAAGATTCCCACATTCAAAACTTCAACCAGGGGTTGATAAAGTGGCTCAAGTAGAACACATACCTAGCAAACATTAGGCCTAAATAAAGAGCAGAGAAAGCAGACTAAAAATGAGGTTGGAAGAGCTCCAAAGACAGCTCCCAAGCCCTGAGTGAAGAGAACTTGGAGCCTGCCTTGATTAGTTGGACTTCACTATCTGCATCCCTTCAAATGTGATCAGCAGGAGCTTCAGACTCCACGATGCTGCTTAGGTCCAGCACTTTGGGGTAGAACCCTAACATTTACAAGTTTCATAAGCTCTCAGATACTTCTCCAGTACATACAAATTGAGGGCAGCTCTGAGCAGTGGTTAAGCCAGCAAAGATAAAAGACTTGGCTAGGTATGAAGGAGCTAGGTAGAAGGAAGCAAAGGAAATGCTCCCTTGATGGTACAGGGAACCTGGCCCATGGCTAAAGAACTACAAAAAAACTTTTCTTCTCCCTATTAATGGGATTTGAGTACAGGCACTGTACCTCTTCAGACATGCCCCCAGCCTTTTTTTTTTTGCTTTTAGTCATTTGTCAGGTCAAGTCTCATGTTTTATCAAGGGCCAACCTTTGACACAATTCTATGTATGCTCTCCTGCATAGCTGGGATGACAAGTATTTACCATCATACCTGAATTATTTATTCCAGTGGGGTTTCATTAACTTTTTGTAGAGACTGCCCTCCAACTGTGATTGTCCCTATCTCCACCTCCTGAGCAGCTGAGAACATAGACACAAGCCACCATGCCTAGCCAAAATCATTTGCTATTTGTCCACCAGTTCACACCAAATGTGCCAGCCTCTTTGCTGAAGATAAGGCCACCTTATCTATGGGTTTATTGCACATGATTTTGACCAAGAAAAAAATTAATTTCAATTAATTTCAAGAGCAAATACACATGCACTATGCAGCTCAGTTGATAAGTACACAGTCAGTAATAGTTGTCATTCAGTTGTGTGTAAATCATTATGAAATCTGCTAAGTATTTCCTTGAACTTAATTTTGTGAAGATATGCTTCCAAAAGAAAGCAAATAGTCCCAGGCACAGTAGCTTATTCTTATTAATCCCAACTGCTAGTGTGGTGATGGGGAGTACCACAGCTTGAGGTCAGCCAGGGCAAAAAGTTTACGAGATCCCATCTCAATTAATAAGCTGGGAATGGTGAATGATGGCATGCATCTGTCACCTCAGCTATGCAGGAAGCAAAAATAGGATTACAGTCAAGACAACTTGGGAAAAACCACCCACACACACATACACACACACACACACACACACACACCTCTGTTCAAATAAGTAAAGTAGCCTGGTACTGGTGGCTCTAGGCTGTACTAGTAGCTATTCATGAGTCTGACATCTGAAGATGGAGGTTTGAAGGCAGCCCTATCTGGAAAGTCCGTTAGACTTACCAATTAACCACCAAAAGTCAGAAGAGGAGCTATGGATAAAGTGGTAGGGTGCTAGCCTTAAGCACAAAAGTTCAAGGATAATGCCCAAGCCCTGAGTTCAAGCCCCAGGACCAGAAGACAAAAAGTCTCAAGTACTTTCCTGCTGGGGCTGTCTTGGAAGAGAGAAAGAGAGAAAGGAAGGAAGAAAGAGGAAGGGAGAGAGAGAGAAGGAAGAGAGAAAGAGAGAAAGGAAGGAAGAAGGGGATGGGGAAGGGGGAGGGAGGGAGATAGGGAGGGAAAGAAGGAAGGAAAAAGAGCTGGGGACATGACCCAAGTTGTAGACACCTGCTTAGCAGGGACAAGGTCCTGAACTTACACTCCATATTGACAAATAAATGCAAATGGTGCTCCCCAGAAACAAAAGTTAATGTGCTTACTTTGAGATTTTTTGAAAGGTGGCAGGTCTTTAGCAGAAGATAGGTGGCATTATGGGGAAAATGGATCAAGCATCCACAAAACAGCATTGAAGTCTGAATGCAAAGCATTAGCTTATTTCTCCGAACCATAGAACAGCAGGGTCTGCAAAGGTACCAGGCAAACCAGGGCACTGTGCTCACAGGATGCTTCCTTTTCAGCCTCTACATCTGTTTTTTTTGTGTTGCTTTTTCTTTTGCTGGACCTTATTCTAATATCCAGAAAGCTCCCATCCTTTTTCTTCATATCTCTGTTCAGTGGTACCATATTAACAATTTCTTCCTTAAATATCCTCATATGGAGAAGAGCATACACTAAGCAAAAGGAAAGAAATGTACATATCACCCGATTTGGAAGAAATAGTTATACTGTCAAAGTTTGTAGAGTTCACAAGCTTTATAGACCATGATAATGACAATTCGCCTTGTGAAGGTTAAGAAGTGTTTGTGACTATAGGTAAGTATCACTATCCCACAACACTGTGAAAGTTATGTAATCACTTAATCTCAATAAAGACATTAAAAAATATATCCTCATATGAAAAGCATGAGTCACCATCTCTTCCTCTGCCCTATTTATCTCATGTCCTTAAATCATCAAACATGGTTTACTTGATTTTGTCTGCTTTTTCCCACACCAAAATGTAAGAACCATGAGATCTGACCAGGGATTTTTGTCCGTTTTGTTTCTGATTTGTGCCAGTACTGGCTCTTGAACTCAGGACCTCATTCCCTCACTCTGCTCACGGCTAGTGCTCTACCACTTCAGCCACACCTCTACTTCCAGCTTTTCAATGGTTCACGGAGATCAGAGTCTTTGAGACTTGTCCTCCTATATTAGCTTTGAGCCTCCATGTTCAGATTTCAGACTCCTGAAGAGCTAGTTATAGGCATAAGCCATCAGTACCCAGTAAGTTTAGAAATTTTCCCAGATTCCCCCTTGGGAGGCCTTATAACTTTTTGTGGGGGGGGGGTGTCATAGGGCTTGAACTCGGGGCCTAGGCCCTGCCCCTGAGCTTTTTCACCCAAGGTTCTGGTGGTTAATTGGAGATACAAATCTCATAGACTTTTGTGCCCTGGCTGGCTTCAAACTGCGATCCTCAGGTCTGTTTCCTGAGTAGCCAAGGTTACAGGAGTGAGCCACCAGTATTCAGCCCTTATATCTTTTACTTGTAGGTTCTCCTTAAACTAAAAATGTTCCAAGTTCCTGGGGCCAAGTCCATCATAGCGGACAAGAATGGCCATGATGTGTCTGGGGGGAAAACACATTACACACACACACACACACACACGGGGGGGGGGGGGGGGGGAGAGAAATCCCAGGATGTTTAAGAAAGGAACAGTCCAAATCAGTTACATTGACCTCAAGTTGCCCTTTCATTGATAAATGTAATTATCACCACAATGTACTTGGGGGTGGGGGGAGAGAGGGTGCCTGTATGGTGCATTGAACTCAGGGCCTGGGCACTATATTCCTACAGCTTTTCACATTCAAGGATGACGCTCTATCACTTGAGCCACAGATGCACTTCCAGCTTCTCGGTGGGTAATTGGAGATAAGTCTCCGGAACTTTCCTACTTGGCCTGGCTTGGAACCGTGCCTCTCTCAGGTCTTAACCCTCAGTAAGGTTCTCATACTTGCTTCTAGAACATCACCAGCGAAATAAGGATTTAGCAATCTCACACAATCGAACTGTCAATTTGGAGCAAGAAGGTAGTGCTTGGACTGACATCTCTAGAAACTTCCACTTAAATGTCAACGAAACGATCTCTATGAGATGACCTGCTCTCCTCTGTGGGGGTCTATTTTTCTTTCTCTTAATCAACTGCTACAAAAATTCTTAATAAATTGTACCTCAACTCTCTCCTTGCCTGAATTCGTTGTAGCCTGACACAAGAAGCGTTCAGAAAGCTGAGCAAACCTCGGGTAATCACCGCAACCGGTGCCAGCAGGGCCCGAATTCGATTCCTGGCTACT